GAAGAGAGAGCCGGTCAAAAAAAAAAAAAAAAAAGAGAAAGAGGACAGCAGGGTGAAAGGAGGCGAGGAAGGTGAAGGGAAGAAGAAGGTTGGTGAAGGAAAGAGAAGCCGGCAGCCATAGCTGACCGAAGGGTTGACCGGGAGAGTTGACCGAAGGTGTTGACCGGCGTTGACCGGCGTTGACCGGAGTTGACTGGGGGTTGACCGGCGGTTGACCACAGCGTTGACCGAGCATTGACCAAGGCGTTGACCAAGACTTTGACCAAGCTGGAGCCGGTAAAATCTCGCCAAGCCTTCAGCCTATCCCTCGCCCTATGGATGTGCACACACCCTGTGGTACTTGCTGAGTCCAATCTGTCTGGCTCTTCTTTCAGCATCGAGTCTCTTCTGTCTAGGTGATAGTACTCTGTGGATGAAGGATAGGGCCTTGTTGACCAAACCCAAACGGGCTGAGTAGGGCTAAAGACCGTGTCTGACGACTCGACTGTCCCGGAGGACACGAACCCTCCCAAGGACCGGTACTGACAGGCGGGCTGCTCGGTGTGGCACGGTAGGCCCAAAATCCGAGCTGTGGGCTGCACAACAGGCCGTCTAAGTGTTGAGAGACCTGCTGATCGCGTTGTCCTGTTTGCGACGTTAAATAATTCCTCAGGAGTTACGGGGGATCTCCTTAAATGCCTCCTGATCAGCCACTGGTTCAGTAGTGACAGCCATAGTGTAGGCCTAGGCTAGAGACCCTAGTTGGCAGGATCCCTGTCAGGATTCTGTGAGTCCTTAGATTGATTCAGTAGGTCTGTCAGTCAGGGGTTAGAGTCTACGTGGTGAGGTTTGGAACCGTTAATCCGGTTGTGCACTGAAACCATGGTTGAGACCCGTAGTGGGAAGAGCACTAGCCCCTACACCCAGGCAGCAACAAGAGAAGATGGCCGCGTTAGTGAGAGAAAATAAGGAAAGGAAGTTGAAGGCGATCGCAGAGGAGCAGGCGACGAAGAGGAAGAAATTGGAGGAAGAGATGATGAGGATTCAGCAAGAGGAGGAAGAAAAGAGAAAGGCTGCCGAAGAGGAAGCAGCAGAAGAAGAAGAAAAGGGGAGAAGACATATAGAGGAGAGAGGAGAAAGCAGTGGCACGGCAAATGAGGATGCCGCAATGGAGAAGAAGATCAACGAGTGGATAGCTAATTTATCGTTGGGGGAGGATGAGGAGGCAGAGTTCTATGTGCCCCAGGACGAGAGGGATGCGTTAGCCCAAGAGCTAGCAGCAATGGAGGACCCCCTGGAAAGACAAGAAAGAGAGGAGGAGAAAAAGTTGGAGAGGAAATCGAGAATGAAGAGGGAAAAGAAGAGAAGGAGGGATGAGGTTAACAGGTTGCCCGCAGAGGTGGCGAAGATGAAGGATTGTAGGCAGGAGGTGGAGGCTCAGGCAAACGACTCGGCCAAATGTGATAAGGTGTTGGGGTACCTGGAGGTGTTGAGCGCAGTTTGGATGGAGGAACGCCAAGCCAATAGAGCTCAAGAGGTAGCCCTGAAGGCCATGCGGTCCGGTTTTCGGGATTTTGCGCGCGAGATGGTTACCCACATTGGAGGGGAAGTCAGGCGGTTGAGAGACAACGTGGGGAAGTTCTGTGAGGGTGCCATTGAGGGCGCCAAAGTAGTAGCCGCTGCTGAGGGCGAGGCCAGACCTCGCAGAGAACCAGTCAAACTTAAGTTCCCCGATGCTTATGGTGGGAAATCTGACGAGAACTTCGATAACTGGGAGGCTAGCGTAAACCGTTACGTGTACTTACAGCACATCGTACAGGACGATCAGGTCCTGGTAGCCTTCCAGGCCCTCAAGGACGAAGCGGCTAGTTTTGCTAGGTCTCTCGCGCGCGCGGCCGGTTGTGAAAACAACATGGTCGCCTATTCCAAGGTTACCCTTCTCCCTCAATTCTTCAAGCTCCTTAGGGAGCGATTCGCTGATCTCCGCAGAGGCGTTAGAGCCTTGGGTAAGCTCCAAACCATCCACTCACGACAGTGGAGGAATGCCAAGGCACTCAAGGCCGTAATGGACGACCTGGTGGCCGTCCCGGACCATGGGGTGATTGAGTCCCAGTTGGTCCAGTTATTTTATCGTGCCATGCCAGAGCCCCTGCGTGGGCACTTCTTTGACAAATCCCAACAGCCCACCATGACGTACGATGTGCTCAGTAGAGAGGTGGTGTTGTTTGAGGCCATGTCCATGCCAGTTACCACTTTCTGGCATAAGGACTTAGACAAGGGGAAGAAGTGGAAAGGTCGTACCATCTCAGGCCAAGTGAAGGCCAAGGATCATATGATCCTTACCTTAGAGGAAGGTGGTACAGATAAGGTCCCATACAGTCAGATCGAATGGGGCCTTGAGGAGGAGGACAGTAGTGTGGGACAGGGGAGGTCCTATGCTGCTGTCGCGGCTGGAGGGAGGCCGCAAGGTAGAAGAGTAGGCCAGAGCCAAAGGAGCCAGGCCATGGGAGGCCGAGGACCGGGCGCACAGGGGGTTAGCGGACAAGGGAACCACCAAGTGGGAGGTAGGGGTCAAGGTCCCCCGCCAAATCGCCAGGGTTCTTGTCGGTCCCCACAGCGACGAGGTGGAAGGTCCCCTCAAGGAGGATGGCACCTAGGCTTGCCACAAGGTAGGCCCTGGGAGGATTTGGGCTTGGACCAGCGTATATGGTAGGAACGCGTGGACTTGGGTCAGTGCGTGGTTTGTGGTGACCCGGCCCACGTTATTAAATTTTGTCCCAAGTATAGACAGGCCCGTTGGGCTGCCCAACAGTCAAAAGGCAGCCGCCAGTAGGGGTCGCAACTGCCCCGAGCGCGCACATACAGGAAACTCCCAAACCACATGAGCCTATGGCAGAGGTTGCAGGCCCGTGCCTAGCTAGCTGTCCAGAGACTGTTTGTGTTAGCGTCTCTCTAGGCACGTCCCTCATAGGTGTGGCAGAAGAGCTGAAGGAGAGGATGCCAGCCTGGGCCAAAATGAAGAAGGAGAGTAAAGGACAACTGATCTTGGTAAATGTAGAAGTATTTAGAAGCAGAGTAGGGACCCTTATAGACTCAGGGGCGACCCGTAGTTATATTAGCCGTAGAGCGCTGAAGAAGTTGAGGCTAGGATTGAAAGTCCAAAAGTTAGCAAACCCTATAGTCAGTGTCCTCGCAGACAACCGCACAATGCGTGTTGAGGACTATGTAGAGGGAGTCCAGGCGTACTTTCGCCTAGAGAAGGATGGGAAGGTGGAGAAGGTTCTCCATTCCTTGACCCTCCTCGTATAGGATGACCTTCCTTTCGATATAGTATTGGGAATGGATTGGGGAGAGGCAGCAGGGGCCACACTCCACTTAAGAGAGCATGAGTGTAGGTTCCCTAGTCCGTCAGGCGAGGTTAAGACTGCCCGCCTGTTTCATGTGTCAGGTGTAGACAACACTCTGGCACATTGTTGTCTCAGTGCTCCCGCATTCGCGCGACTAGTGAAAAAGGAGCAGTTAGAAGATCAGGTCTTCGTAGTGTATGTGAGGCCTGTAACTGAGGTTAAGGAAGAGGTAAGCTCCACGGATCCAACCATTGCCAAGTTGCTGGAAGAGTTCAAAGATTTGACTAAGTCGCCGACAGGAGTTGTGCCGCGACACATCCAGCACAGGATATAGATAGAGCCTGGCAGTAGAACTCCTAAGGGAGCAGTCTACAGGATGTCCCCTAGAGGAGCTACGCAAGCAGTTAGACGAGCTCCTCGAGAAAGGTTGGATCAGGCCCAGTTCGTCTCCTTTTGGAGCACCTGTTCTGTTTGTCCCCAAGAAGGAAGGAGAGCTTCGTATGTGTATAGACTATCTTCTAGATCAGGTGCAGGGTTGTAAGTATTTCTCAAAGATAGATTTGAAGTCCAGATATCATCAGATAGAGGTCCATCCTGATGACCAGTACAAGACTGCGTTCCGGACTAGATATGGGCATTAGGAGTTCATAGTGATGCCCTTTGGACTAACCAACGCACCAGCCACCTTTCAGCGTTGTATGAATGATTTATTCAGACCGTGGTGAGACAAGTTTGTAGTAGTTTATCTACATGATATACGAGTCTTCAGCAAGACCCTCCAGGAGCATCAGGGTCATTTGAGGCAAGTCTTGGAGAAGCTACGAGAGGCTAGCTTCAAGATTAACGCAAAGAAGTGCGAGTGGGCCAAGACGCAAGTCCTGTACTTGGGCCACGTATTAGACGGGGATGGCATTAAGCCAGAGGACAGCAAGATAGCGGCAATTAGAGATGGGATGACGCCCAGCACATTGACGGAGTTGCGATCGTTCCTAGGCCTAGCCAACTACTATAGAAAGTTCGTAAGGAACTTCTCTACAATCGCCGCTCCCTTGCGCCAGTTGCTTTAGAAAGAGGCAATCAGGCAATGGGACAAAGATTGTACGTCTGCGCTAAAGAGAATGAAGCGCGCGTTAATAGAATACCCTATCCTCAAAGTAGCTGATCCGTCCTTGCCATTTGTCGTCACCAAGGACGCAAGTCAGTATGGAATAGGCGCCATGTTGTAGCAAGACGACGACAATGGCTATAGACCCGTAGAGTTCATGTCCGTGAGGATGCCCTCAGAGAAGGTTGCTACCTCGACGTACGAGAGAGAACTCTACGCTCTCAGGCAGGCTTTAGAGCACTGGAAGCATTATCTGCTTGGGAAGCACTTCAAAGTATATTATCACCATGAGACGCTTAGATGGTTAAAGACCCAAGCCAAGATGACACCTAAGCTAACTAGGTGGGCCGCTGAGATAGACGAGTACGACTTTGAGCTCAAGCCAATGAAGGGCAAGTACAACGTAGTTGCGGACGCTCTGAGTAGGAGATCAGACTACTTTGGAGCCATAATACACTATCTGGATATAGGAAGAGACCTGCAGGAGAAAGTGAGGCAACAGCGAGGAGATCCGCAGTTTAATCCTAGGGGAATGCCACGATACAGAGGGACATTTCGGTTGGCAAAAGACTCTAGCCAATCCAATGCATGCGTATACCTGCCCAGGAATGAAGAATGACTGCATAGAGTATGTCCGCAGTTGCAAAGTTTGCCAGAGGAACAAGACCACTACGTGTGCCCCTCTAGGTCTTCTCAGACCCTTGCCTATTCCTGATCAGCCGAGAGACTCAGTGTCCATAGACTTCATGGATACGCAAGTCAAGAGTGGACATGGTAAGAGCCAAGTCATGGTAATAGTTGACCGATTTAGCAAGTATGCAGTTTTTGTTCCTTTGCCTGCAGAGGCACGTACGGACTTAGTTATACAGAAGTTCTTTGATTTTTGGGTTAGTGAGAATGGAGTCCCATTGTCAATAGTTAGCAATAGAGATAGTCGCTTCACCAGCCAGAACTGGCAAGTGTCGCTTCACCAGCCAGAACTGGCAAGAACTCATGAGAGTCTATGGGTCAAAGTTACTGATGTCGTCTGGCCACCACCCAGAGACTAACGGTCAGACCGAGCAAATGAACAAGATCCTACAGCAAGTTCTGCGCATGTACATTAGACCCGATCAGATCAACTGGGACGAGATGTTACCTAAGGTAGCTAGTGCATACAATAACAGCGTGCACCTATCCACCTGTCGCACTCCCAATGAACTGCACAAGTCCTTTAGACCGCGCAGACCATTCGAAGGACTGAACCGGGATCAGATTCACAGGCTACCGCCCGGTACTAGGGAGTTCGCGGTACAGCACGAGAAAGAGCTAGCAACTGTTGTTGAAAACCTCAGGAAGGCCCAACACAGAATGATAGAACAGGCTAATAAGCACCGTCGCCCCTCGCAGTTTCAGGTAGGCGACTTAGTCTGGGCCAAGTCTAAAGAGTTTGCACCTGAGGAGCACATCTCACAGAAGTTACTACCTGCATATAGAGGACCCTGGCCGGTTCTAGAAGTCGAGGGCGGAGAGGATGGGCCGTCCTACATAATAGAGATTCCAGCACACCTCCACACTTACCCTGTATTCCATGCCTCAAAGCTGTTGCCGTGTGTCACAAGTCAACAGTTCCCTTCAAGAAGATCCATGATCCCGCCGGATATGGATGGAAGATATGATATAGACGGCATTGTAGACGAAGATGTGTCCAGGTTAGGAGGTAGAGGTCGTCCACAGAAACAGTATAAGGTCCGGTTTGCTTATCAGGAACCGGAAGACGACCGCTGGTTCACTAGAACAGAACTTCTAGAAACAGATCCCGACATAGTCAGAGCCTACGAGCGTGATAAGAAGAGTAAAGGTCCTGTCTTGGAGTGAAATATTCTCGGAGGACCTCGAATTTAGGACGGCGGGAGTGAAACAGTTTTCACCTCTTTGCAGTAGCAGACATAGATCCCAGGGTTCGATCCCTAGACCTTGCCCTACCTGTGTACAGTATCTGTGTAGACCCCGAGAGTTGAACCTGTGACCTGTGTATTCGTAAACAGTTGGTAGGCAGTCATAGGTCCTTAGGTAGCAGGGGTTCGATCTGTAGACTTGTAGAATAGAAGTCTTAGCGAGYTCCAGAAGTCTTAGCTGTAGTCCTTCTAGAAGGTMAGCAAGTGGGCAAGTGGGCAAGTGGTGAGTCAAGTGSTGGACTAACTGCAGTGCAATTGCAGTACGACCTCGGTAGGTTAGCAGYGASTCCCCATTCAGTCAGCAGTAAGGTCCAGTCAGTCCCAGTCCAGTCCAGCAAGTACCACAAGGGACTGTGAGCACCATGGGCCGATGGCAAAGGGCAGACCAACGAGTTTCAGCAGTATAAATCAAGAGGCAGCGCCCAGCCATTCATTCATTCCTGCGTGAGCCATGCGGAAGCGCTGCCACAGCGACTTGTGAAAGGTCTGTGGTGAGCCCGGAGCTGAAGTGGGCAAGAGAGAAGGAGCGTAGCATAGCGATAGGGTAGTTGCGGTCATAGCCGCCATAGCTAGAGTAGTGTGAAGTATGTGTGTGTATGTGTGAGTGTTCAGAGAGTCGCGTGTGGGATATCCAGGGTGATCCGACGTTTGTGAACAGTGAGTTGTTTGGGCGCTGAGTTGTCATAGCCAGTTGAAAGTGAACTCGTATCTGGATGCCATATCTCTGAGTTCTGAGTGGGCGCATGTCGCCAGTTTGCTGCGCTACTGTTTACATGCATGAAAAGTGTGAATGAGAACGAGTCTGATTGCAATCTTACGCCGAAGTTGTCAATATGTGGCTATGTGAGGGTAGAATTAGCAGAATGAAAGGGATGCACCCTTCTCTTTCATAAGTGGATTGGAGAGATTTCTTGACACACTGCAGAGGGGCAGGAAGGAGAGATGGATTACTTAGATGGGAAGGGCAACTTATAGAATTTTCACCACCTTAATTATTCATCTATGTGGTTATATGAGGGTAGAATAGCACAACGAAAGTTTCTCTTTCATAATTGGACTGGAGAGATTTCTGGACAGATTGCAGAGGAGCAGGAAAAAGAGGAGTATTTACATGGGGAAGCAAACTTATAGAATTTTCACCACCTTAAATTGGAGAATAGCAGAATGGACGGGATACACCCTTCTCTTTCATAATTGGAGTGGTGAGATATCTGCACGCATTGCAGACGGGCAGGAAGAAGACATGGAGAGTATTTAGGTGGGGAAGCCAACTTATAGAATTTTCACCACCTTAAATTATTCTGCTTGATTGACCTCTTTGTCTTCCATTCCTAACTTCTTTTGTGCACTGCAGAGGCTTTGGTACTGTGTGGCATTAACAACCTGATGACCTCAATGAAGTTCCAAAAGTGAGGCCCATATAGATCAGGGTTTCAGTACAGTCGACCTGTNCAACCTGATGACCTCAATGAAGTTCCAAAAGTGAGGCCCATATAGATCAGGGTTTCAGTACAGTCGACCTGTGTGCATGTGTGTCACCATGTTCACTACATACAACCCCACAAAAAAAGGGTGCAACTTTCCCGGACTGTTTTGTCACCATGTCTTTCACAAATCCATCAGGCAGTTGAACCCCGATGTCTGCCCAGGATGCATTTGACCAATTGATCAGGACTCACCATGTCGCCCAGAGTTAGCAATACCCCTGAGAAAAGTGGTCGGCTTTACGAACACCAACCCTGCAACCACAGCAGACTGCCAGTCCAAACCCTAGAGTGTGTGAGGTAGAGAGAAAAAAATGATGGAGTGAGAGAGAGAGGGAAAGAGGAATGGGGGTTACATACCATTAGAGCAATTCGCTTGTAGCACCAATGCCCATGAACAATCAGCAATCGCTCTAAGAAACAAAACTGTCCAATTGAAAAGTCGCTTGCCATGACAGCCTGCTCACGAATACACATACCCATTGTCAAACAAGTCAGCCATCCAATGTGAACATGACACCCAAACAACACAGAAAGAAGGGAAAAAAAATCCCCAAAGCTCTTGAGATCCCAAGCCACTTGGCGTAATTGCTGCACTGCCTACTCCACCCACAGTAACTATGAGGAGCCGCAGCAATTCTGGAACAAGCTGCACAAGACCCACATTGGAGAGATTTTTCTGCCCATTGCAAAAATGTCAAGTTCCATAATACCTTAACACGCCTAGCCCCACCAAACTAAGGACAACGCTCATGTCAAAGTTTTGATATCTGCCACTTGCTAAGGTCAGTAGATCGTCATCACTTGACAAGACGAGCAAGAGAACACGAGTTTGAGAGTTTACAGAGGGATACACATTGCATTCAATGCGGAGAGGGAAAAAAGAGAGAGAAAGGGAGAAGAGCTCCCCAGGAGAGACATACCCAGAATGAGATTCAATCAATGTCAGCGTAACCTCCACTCATGGTTGGGGGCAACATCAAGCTATGGAAACGAAACTGATCGCACACACACACACACACACACACACACACACACACACACAC